GTGTGTGTGTGTGTGTGTGTGTGTGTGTGTGTGTGAGAGAGAGAGAGAGAGAGAGTGGTGGGTTTCCAAAATTTTTGGAACCTCTTCTGTAGGTGTGGCCTGCTTTCTGGTGGAACCTCTTCTTCGGTAGATTTGACGAACTGGTTCTACCGAACTGGTGAGAACTGGTAGGAACCCACCTCTGGGTGGAAATGCCAGTGTGGCAGTGGAAGATTGGGCCACGTGATGGACTTGTGGGTGTGGGGACAAGATCATGAACTTTCAACTGGGTGGGAACCCCAGGAAGCTTTCATATTTGGGTTTTCCACAGTTTGTACCAACATGTCTCTCTTATTAAATTGGAACTTTGAGGAAAGCTCTGCCTTGCACTCTGATTTAATTCTGGATGATATTTGGAACGCTGAGACTAGATTGGGCTACCCAGGATAACTTTCTCGAAGAGGCGTGCAATTCTGACTCACCTGGGGGATGAATTGTCATGCGCTGTTGCCCATCCATTACATAGCCTCCCATTTGCTGCCCGTCAGGACTATACGGCGTACCTTGACCTGCTCGGAAGAGAGAAACGTTACAGAGGAAAGACAACAGGTAGATGCATCCCCTACTTTTAAGGGCATCCGATTTCTGCAGGCATTTAAAACAGAAGGCATGGGGGCCATCCCCTGTTTGGAAGCTGTTCTCCAAATCAGCCAGTTTGGCCTGGTGGTTAAGGCACCAGGCTAGAAACCAGGTGTCAGCGAGTTCTAGTCCCACCTTAGGCGTGAAACGTTGGCTGCGTGACTTTGGGCTAATCACTAAGAGACTGGGAGTTCTAATCCCGCCTCAGGTGTGAAAGCCAGCTGGATGCACCTGGGCCAATCACAAGGAGACAGGGAGTTCTAGTCCAGTGGTGAGATTCAAAAATTTTTACTACTGGTTCTGTGGATGTGGCTTGGTGGGCTTGGTATAGCTTGGTGGGCGTGGCAGCGGAAGGTTACTGCAAAATCCCCATTATCTCCCAATCAGCTGGGACTCGGGAGGCAGAGAATAGATGGGGGCGGGGCCAGGCAGAGGTGGTATTTGCTGGTTCTCCGAACTACTCAAAATTTCCACTACCGGTTCTCCAGAACTGGTCAGAACTGGCTGAATACCACCTCTGTTTTAGTCCCTCCTCAGCATGAAAGCCGGTTGGATGACTTTGGGCCAACCACCAGGAGACTGGGAATTCTGGTCCCGCCTTAGGGATGAAAGCTGGCTGGATGACTTTGAGCCAATCATCAGGAGACTGAGAGTTCTAGTCCCTCCTTAGGCATGAAAGCTGGCTGGGTGACTTTGGGCCAATCACCAGGAGTCTGGAAGTTCTAATCCCACCTTAGATGTGAAAGCCAGCTGGGTAACTTTGGGCCAGTACTTCTCTCAGTCCAACCTGCTTCACAGGGTTGTTGTTGTGGGGTGGTGGGCAAGAAGGAGGAAGGAGTGTTATTGCCATCTTGAAAGAAATAAAATTTAAAAATAAGGCATTACAACCTGATTGGCCCCCTTTGGCCTTCTGAAAGTGGCTGGAGGGTATAGAGTGGGAAAGGGGCATCCTGGGGAATCAATATATAGAGTGACCCCTTTCCGCAGATTCTTAGTAGAATGGAATCCTTCCTACCTGTGCGATTTGATTGGTCGATCATAGGTTGAACTATGCGCCTTCGGGCATTAATAAACCTGCAGGAGATATAGGGACAGGGATGTTCCACTAGTTAATTGTTCTCACTGTTGAAAGCTGTGTGTATACCTACACCCTAACATATAAATGCATGTAAATATTAATCCTTGTCCATCTTGAATGTATAGCAGAGAGAGGAATAGAATAGAATAGAATAGAAAAGAATAGAAAAGAATATAGAATAGAATAGAAAAGAAAAGAATACAGAATAGAATAGAATAGAATAGAATATAGGATAGAATAGAAAAGAATATAGAATAGAATAGAACACAATAGAGAACAGAATAGAATAGAACAGAAAAGAATATAGAAAAGAAAAGAAAAGAATATAGAATAGAATATAGAATACAATAGAACAGAATAGAATAGAAAAGAAAATAGAATAGAAAAGAATAGAATAGAAAAGAAAAGAATAGAGAATAGAATAGAGAATAGAGTAGAGAATAGAATAGAATGGAACAGAACAGAATAGAATATAGAATAGAACAGAACAGAATAGAAAAGAAAAGAAAAGAAAAGAAAAGAAAAGAAAAGAGAAACAAAATGAAAAGAATAGAATAGAAAAGAATATAGAATAGAATACAGAATAGAACAGAATAGAAAAGAAAAAAGAAAAAAGGAAATAGAATAGAATAGAATAGAAATGAATCTAGGATAGGATAGGACAGGACAGAACAGGACAGAATAGAATAGAACAACTGAGTTGAAAGGGACCTTGGAGGTCTTCTAGTCCAACCCTCTGCCCAGACAGGAAACCCTACACCACTTCAGACAAATGGTTATCCAATCTCTTCTTAAAAACCTCCAGTGTTGCAGCATTCACAACTTATGGTGGCAAGCTGTTCCACTGATTAGTTGTCCTCACTGTCAGGAAATTTCTCCTTAGTTCTAGGTTGCTTCTCTCCTTGATTAGTGTCCACCCATTGCTTCTTGTCCTACAGTCAGGAAGCTTGAGAGTTCGCAAGGTTGATGCTGTATGGAACCAAACTGTGACTGAATCTGGATTTTCTGCTTCGGGTACCACAAAGCCCCCTCCCACAAGGGGAACAGGTAGTGAAGAGGATGTTTAGCATCCCAGACAATCCTATGGACGGACCCTGCTCAAGCATCGCTTATCTGCCATGTCCTGGATAGAACAATAATCTTTTCTGCTGTCCTCACCACTGAGGTGAGCTGCCAATAATCTTTTTCTGCTGTCCTCACCAGTCTCTGCAACCTTGGGCAACTTGGAGATGTGTGGACTTCGACTCCCAGAATTCCCCAGTCATCATGTTCCCAGAATTCCACAGCCACCTATACTTTCAACAGGTCTTGCTGAGTGGGGCCACAGGAAGGATCTCCTCCCCAGGACCAAGGGAATTTTACAACTGGTTGGGGCAGATGAGACGCAGATTCAGCCGAAGGAAGATTTCCTATGTCTTCTCTTCTCCCTTTCTAATCCTTACCAGTTATTGACTTGCAGAATTGTCAGTCCGGTGTCCTGGGCTAACTGTTTCTTCTGTTCTTCCGAGGGATAAGGATGCTGCACAGAGAGAAGAGAGAAGACAAGGTGTTCTCCAAAACGTTGAGCCAACTCTCTTTGCTCCCTGGGTTTCGGAACCCAAGGCCAAAAAGTTCTGTTTTCAAACATGAATGTTTATATTATTACGACTCTTTTTTTAAGCTACAGCAAAATAATAATAATAATAATAATAATAATAATAACAACAACAACAACAATAATAATAATAATAATAAACTGCCCTACTTGGAAAAGCTTATATCCTCCGACGTTACCTTAACAGTTCCTAGTTTCTTGGTTAGGACTCGAGCTGTTGAGCTACCAACCAGCCCCAAAGGCTGTGAATCTCACCACGCAATAATAACCATGTAATAATAATAATAATAATAATAATAATAATAATAATAATAATAAT